GGTTGGAATTATAGACTGTGTTCCCATAGGAATTATTTGAACTTGTTAGAACTTTAGCTCTCTCTTGTGATGATGATGATGATGATGATGATGATGATGATGATGATGGTGGTGGTGGTGGTGGAGGATTCCCAAGGTGGTCTTTGGTAATGAATACTTCCTCCTTCCTTTCCTCTGTCTTACTCCTCTGGCCAATCATATTATTAGGCCCTGCACAACTCCCAAAGCTGCTGGATTAGGGCTGAGTCTTCTTATTTGGGGCATTCTTCACTACTTCTCTTCAATTTGGAAATTTAACTCTCCCCATTTTAGTTCACTATAAATATTATATTATCTTAGAAAATGCCTATGTAGCATCATTCTTTTTCACCTCCTGCTATTTTTCAGTCTGTTCTTCAACACTTGGAATACCATTCCCTCCCCTCTTTAATTATTTGAGACCTTTAAAACTCCAGTAATTTTTCCTCCCCTTAAGTTTTTATAGTTCTTATTGCCTTCTACTCACCTGATAGCCATGTCCATGGATTAGGAGAGTCATGTTTATTCATTCATATTTATTCTCTCTCTCCCTCCATCCTGCTCTCCATCACTATCTCCTCCCCCCTCCACCTCTTCTTCTCTTTCTCTCTCCTTTTGCCCTTGGTAGATTTTAAGCTCCTGATAAGGACAGGGCCAAGTTTGGCAACTCTCACAAAGCTGAGAATAACACAGTTAACATTTGTTGAGTGGACATAGATTCCCATTTTAATAGAGGGACCGCAGCTTAAGCAAAGCCACATGTCCCCATGTTTTACAGTGTGAGCCAGCATCTAGGCTGGGGTAGAGATTTATTGAGAGTGTAGGGATATAATTAAGTGGGATTATCCTAGAAACCCACCTGACTCTTGAAGAGGAAGACTTTGCCACCTTCCCTGTGATCTTGGGATTGGCCACCCTGACCTAAGAGATATCCTCAAAAGGTGGTTGCTCTTCACAGACCCAATCACAGTATTCCAAGTCCCAGTTTTTAACCCCATGGCGGTTGCTCAGTATGTTAATATGACTTCTTGATATAGATGGGATTTCAGCATGTAGCCTCACTTCTGGTCTGTACTGGTTAATATTAGGGCTGCATTAATAATGTGCAGCTTTTAGACCACCAGGATTTTTCTTGTATGTATCCACATCTATGGAAAGTGCTCACAGGTGAGATTTTAAACCTCATATACTATACTAGAGGCCCGTTGCATGAAGAGATTCGTGCAATAGGTCTTCCTTCCCCTGACTGCCAGCACCAGTTTTCCTCTGGCACTCAGGACCCAGGCCTTTGGTCTGGCTGCAGCGGAGAAGCCAAGCATCTTCAATCTCCAGTCTCCAGTCTTCAGTCTTCAGTCTTCGCTCAGTGCCTGCATATGCAAATTAACCGCCATCTTTGTTGGGTTATTTTGCAAAATCGCTCTGATTGGCTGGTGGGTGTAGTAGAGTGACACCATTTGCATGTTTCTCTTTTATTAGTGTAGATAGCTCCTGTTGTACATTCAGTGACATGGTCAAATAGCATGTCCCCCATGTTATTAAATGGAATCAAGTCATCTTTCATTTTCTCAGAATTACCATGGCCAGTATGGATGCCCTTTTGTTAGGGAATTTTGAGGCATAGTACTTTGAGAAGGGGGATGCTTAGACTCTGCTCCTTGACTGACACTCTCTTGTTGTGACTCTTTAGGAGTAAATGTGAACCGAGGCCGAGACCTGGAGTCCCCTCTTCATGCAGCAGCTAGGGCATCCAGTGAGGAGCTGGCCACCCTGCTCTTGGACTTCGGAGCAGACATGCAGGCCAAGAATGCCGAAGGCAAACGTCCCTTCGATTTGGTGTCTCCAGATGACCCTCTGTTTCAGCTCTTCGTGAAGAGAGAAGGTGCTTCTTTTTTGCTTGAATCTAAGCACTAATCCATAGAGTCCTATGGGCAGGAGGCAGGTAATTACTGAGTTCTGACTTGTGACCCTATAGAAAAGATAATTCCTAGCCATTACCAAACGTGGGAACTGAGATAATTTAGTACTCCAAAAGGTACATACAACACTAGTGATGTAGTAAATAACCATCTGTTGTTTGACATGTGGCAGATAGGCTTGTTTGGATGATCTAATATTCATTTGTGGGTTAGGCCAGTTTTCAAAGAATGAATGTTTTAAAATTTTTAATGTTTTATTCATTTATTGATGAGAGAGAAACAATCTATTTGTTGTCCCACTTATTTCTGCATGCATTGGTTGATTCTTGTATGTGCCCTGACCGAGAATTGAACCCACAACCTTGGTATTAACTTTATCTAAAACATGCTTTAGAATGAGTAGAAGCCTCTGGTATTTTACAGTGCCCCAGGATGTCTTACTACACTATAGGTGGGCCAAACTACTGGTCATTTGGTTTCTGGGGGTAAGAATGCAACTAATTGAGCATTATAAGGTATTACTTTAATGATTCACAGCAATATACAAACATTTATTAGTATAACTTAATCAACACCAAGTCCACATTCCTCCATAAATAAGAACTGACACACCCAATCCTAACAACTAAACCTGTGGTTGAGCAGTGTGCAAGGGGGTAAGGGCAATTCCCTGGGCTGCAAGTCAGGGGTGGGTTGGGGTGGGGAGCAAAGACTCCTCTGATTCCATTCATTTTTAAAAAACAGTGGGGCCTTGACTTACAAGTGTCCCGACTAACGAGTTTTTTGAGATACCAGTTGTCTCTTGGCCGATTTTTTGCATTGAGTTGATAGAGTAATTTGAGTTAACGAGTTCCTTAATGAGCTTGGTCTCAGAACGAATTAAACTCGTAAGTCAAGGCCCCATTGTACATTTTTATTGATTTTAGAGAGAAAAGAAGGGAGAGGGATAGAGAGATAGAGACATCCATGAGAGAGAAACATCATCAATTGGCTGCCTCCTACACCCCCCCTACGGGGGATTGAGCAACAACCCAGGCATGTGCCCTGGCTGGGAATCAAGCCAGTGGCCTTTTGGTTCATAGGTCAATGCTCAACCACTGAGCGACACCAGTCAGACTCAGTTTTATTCTTAACTAGAGGCCCAGTGCATGAATTCATGCATGGTGGGGTCCCTCTGGGTGGCCTGCAGGAATCAGGCCACAACCCACAGTCCAATGCCACCTGCAGCTCCAACCTGCCTCTCCCATTCATCCCGGCCCCACTGTGCCTGCTGTGGACTCACACCCAATCAGTCCCCATCACGCTGCCACAGCAGCACTCGCCAGCCATGAGCCCTGTGTCTGGAGCCCTCCCAAGGGGAGTGGCCTGCGGGATAGGGCTGAAACTGGCTCTCCAGCATCCCCTGAGGGATCCCAGATTGCGAGAGGGTTCAGGCCAGGTTGAGGGACCCCATTGGTGCATGATCAGACCGGGGAGGGGCACAGGAGGGATCCAGGGCATGTCCAGGCCATTTAACTCAGTCCTGGATTGGCCAGACCCCAGCAGCAAGGTAACCTACTGGTCAGAGCATCTGCCCCCTGGTGGTCAGTGCACATCATAGCGACTGGTACATCAGTTGACTGCCCCCTGGTGGTAAGTGCACGTCAAAGCAAGCAGTTGAGCAGTCTTAGCGTATCATTAACATATTATGCTTTGATTGGTTGTTCGGTTGTTCTGCCATTCAGTCTATTTGCATATTACCCTTTTATTATATAGGATTGTCCCTAGAGCAGGAGAGCAGCTAGCTTAGGACCTATTTTATTTTACCAGAGTGTGGACATTAAATTTTAGGGGTTGTGGGACTTTCCCTTCAACTTTATTTCCCAAAACCATTCCTAGACATCTATGTTGCCTTTAATTTCATTAATTCACATTTCGGTGAGAGTGTGAGGCTAATGATTCCAGTGGTTCATAAAATGTCAGTTGCCATTAGAGAGAATCGCCTTTTTTTTGCCTCCATGAGTTATCTTTGGGGTGAAGTCAGCTCTCAGCAGCAGCTGGAAGCCCATGAAAAAGGGGGACACACAAGTGCAGAAAGCCAGACTCGTGAAATTTTTTTTAATCCTCACCCAAGGATATTTCTTCCATTGATTTTTTGTCTTTAGAGAGAGTGGAAGGGAGGGAGGGGGGAGAGAGAAAGAGGAGCATCAATGTGTGAGAGAGAAACATCTTTGTGAGAGACACATCGATTGGTTGCCTCCTGTTCTCACCCTGACCTGGGCTGGAGCCTGCAACCAAAGTTTGTGTCCTTGACTGGGAATCGAACCAGCAATCCCTCAGTCTGAGGGCCAGTGCTCTCACCACTGAGAAAACTGGCCAGGGCCAGACCTGGGAATTTAACACAGTGATTTCTGTCTCTGGGTGGTGCCAGAAAGGAGTTGAAGAATATTACCATCCCACCCACCTGTAAAAGTGTCTAAGTAGTGTTTACTCATTTATTTTCTTATAACAAATAAATCACTTTCTCTCAGCCCAGCATTATAGGAGCCACTTGTGAATATGCTTTGGCCTTATTAATCATGAGGGTTGCTGGAGAAGAAAAAGAAATTGAGACCCAAAGCAATATTCCAATTCATCAACATAGAATTAGATGATTTTATTATTGAGTATGGTAAATGGCTCCAGAATGGAATGAAGGCTACAGCTGTTGTTAATCATCCAACTTGTGGGAAACAGCAGATACCCGTTTGCATCAGTAGTTACGCTGACCTTGCTTGGGTGTCCTGCTTTTCCTAAGTCTCCATCAGGCTTGCTCTTCATAATTCTTTATCAGTACTTCCTACAGTTGTCCCTAACAGTGTATCTAGCACAGTGATTCGTCAGATCCCTCAATGTTCCTTAGTGAGGTAAGTTGTTTCCCTATGGTGCACTTTTTACAGTGTACTGATATATGCCTTGAGTACACTGAACATAATCTGGAAGGTACCCTAAATTCCAATAGGAGCTTCTGAATGTTCTGTGGGGGCTTGATTGAAAATATTGCACTTATTTTTTAATTGTATATGTGTCAATTTCCACCTTTCTTTGTTCTTCATCACCTGAGAAATATGCAGCCCACTTTATCCTGCAGCTTGTGGTGACACTACAGGAAACCAGAAGCCACTGTATCCTTTTGGTTCTATTTCAACACTGGCAGCACAATCAAATCACCTGGGCCCCCTGCCTTTAATAAATTCAGATGCATGCATGATCCCTACCCAACAGTAATTGAAGCAACATCTTTGGGGTGGGGCCAAACATGTAATTGAGAGCCCTTCTCCCTCAATAGGTGATTCTCAAGTGCAGTCTGGATTGGAGTTCTTGAGGGTACATAGCTTTGCTTTTTAAAAATGTTTCTAATGACCAGGAGATAATCCCCATTACAATTTAGTACAGGGGGTGGGGGTGGGAAGTAATTTCCCATCTTTTTACCCTATAACAGGGTTTCTCAACCTCAATGCTATTTACATTTTGGGCCATTGGGGGCTGACCTGTGCAGTGTGGGATGTTGAGCAGCATCCCTGGTCTCTGCCCACTATATGCCAGTAGCACCTTCCCCCAGGTGGTAACAACCAAAAGTGTCTCCAGATATTGCCAAGTGTTCCTGGAGAGCAAAATGCTTGTCCTTTTTCCTTCCCCTAACCCCTAGTTGAGAACCACTGTCCTATAAAATATCAACTCTTGGCTGGTTCCCTATGCAAAGTTTGTGCTAGTTCACTTTTCACCTATGAATTCAAGCACTGGGCTAGCTCTGAATGCAGAATATACAAACAAATATGACTTAAGATAACACACGTATGATTTATTCATCATATTAGAATATCTTAAAATTGCTCAAATTACAAAAATTTTTGCATCTAGAAATATGACCTTATTTGTAAAGGTTAAAGACAAGAAAGCCATTAACACAAATTTTGTTCTCATTACTGGAAATTCTGTGTAGCTTTGTAATTCCAACATTGCTTTCCTTAAGTCTCCATTAGTGAGACTAAGCTTTGAATTTTTTTAAGACAGTTCTAAATTAAAACCCAACAAACTAATTTCAGTTAGATCAGAAAAGGGAGAACATGGCCTAAAATGCCTCCTATAAGAAACAGAAAATGGTCTTAAACAGTACCTTATTTCCTTATAAAAAAATGTTATACAGCGTTGGGCAAAAGTAGGTTAATAGTTGTTCATATGGAAAATAATAAAAGAATAAATAAATAATAATACAAGAATAAACTGTTTTGCATGCTCACAACTGTAAACCTTCTTTTGCTCCACCCTGTGTTTTGTATACTTTCAAAGAAAGAAGGGAAAAGCCATCTTAGATCACTGAAACCAGCGCTGGCTTGTCTTATGATCTCTCTCCAGAGCCCCCTTCTTTGAGGCAGTTATGCCGCCTTCGAATCCGGAAGTGCTTTGGGATCCAGCAGCAGCATAAGATCAATGAACTCCTCCTCCCAGATGAGCTGAAAAAGTTTCTCCTGCACATTTAAGTGTGTCAAGGCAAGCGTTATCACTGTGCTATAGCCACAGGAATTCCTAAATAAAGTTGTAGTAGTAGTTGTTTTTTTCAATGGAAACACACTGGGTACTTTTGTATTGTTGATTCAAAGACATGAAGACTTTTTTCTTTTCTTTATGTTGGCTGTTGTCATTTTTATTTTATTATTGTTTAAAATATTACAAATAGTAGCACATATGTCTCCTTTTTTTCCCAGTTGACCTTCCCTCAGACTCCGCTAACCGCCGGCACATGCCCTCACCCACCTCCCAGTGTGTTTCATCCATTGGTTATGCTTATCTGCTTGCATACAAGTCCTTCGGTTGATCTCTTACCTCCCCCCACAACCCTCCCCAGCCTTTCTGCTGTAGTTTGACAGTTTGTTTGATGCTTCTCTGCCTCTGTATCTATTTTTTGTTCATCAGTTTATAATAATCTCACTCGTTTATTGATAATAAAGACTTTTTTTCCCTCTTTCCTGAAAGAGGGTGGCTAAAAGAACAACTGTGTTTTGTTTTTTTTTAAATATCTGCTATGTGCTGAACAGTGAGCCCGGAACACATTGTACGTTACCTAATTTAGCCCTCACAGCGACCCTGTCAGGTGGGTGCTATCCTTGCCTCTCCAAGTGAGACACAGAGATCTGTGAGGTCAGTGTGTCCAGTTACCTACAGCAGGGACAAAAAAGCCAGATTTGAGTACAGGTTTGCTGATGCTAACCTGGGGACTTTGGAGTGAGGCAGAATTTTCCAGTGTTACTATTCTGGTTCCATCTCTGTTACATGGGAAGGCAGATAAAGAAGGAAGAACGTTTGTTTGCTACATCTGATTTTTTTTAACCTTCCCTGTTCTTATAACAAAATCACAACTGTCGTAGTATAGTATAGGGGCCAGTTCTTTTTCTCAACCCAAATAGTATATACATATGAGGCAGACCATACTGTCCAATACAGTAGCTACTACCAGTGGTTCTCAAATGGGATGATTTTGACCCTTCCGGGACACTTGACAATGTCTGGAGACTTTTTGGTTGTGACAACTGGGGGAGAATGGAAGGTATGTGCTATTGGCATCTAGTGGATAGAGGCCACGGATACTGCTAAACACCCCACAGTGCACAGGACAATGCCCACAGCAAAGGTTGAGAAACCCTCCAATAGCCATATGTGACTATTTTTTAAAATGGAGCCCAGCTGGTGTGGCTCAGTGGTTGAGGGTCGACCTATAAACCAAGTGGTCACTGCACAGGCCCAAGTTATGGGCTCTATCCTCAGTAGGGGGCATACAGGAAGGAGACAGCTAATTGATGATTCTCTCATCATTTATGTTTCTATATCTTCCTCTCCCTTTCTCTCTAAAATCAATAAAAATATTTTTAAAAATGTAAATTGAGATTAGATAAAATCCATTTTCTCAGTGTCATTAGCTATATTTCAGATGTGCAATAACTACACATGTCTAGTGGCTATTACATTGGACAGCACAGATATATGTCATTGCAGAAGCTTCTTTCACTCCATTGTTGCAGAAGTTTTTTTGAAGACATTTCTTTTGGACAGTGGTCTTCAGATGCTCAACAAATGGATTTTAGCTGCCTTTAAGTTTCTCATTTACATGAGACTTGTGATATAATTCAGTAATGAATGGCTGTAGTTTCAGACTTCTCTCTGAGAGATGAATTTGGAATTCCATTCCATCAATATAAATAAAGAAAATATTGTACCTACTTAAGGAAAATATTTACCTGGAAGATTACATATCGCCTAGATGACCTCTAAAGATATTTTCGATATAATTTTCTGTAATTCTAAATTCAGGGGAAAAAATACTTAGAATGTTGTTCTACAATGCCCAACTAACTACCCAACAGATGGCGCTGCTGTCACATAGACAGGTACGCAAAAGGCTTGCTCCTCATAAATAACCCATTGTAAGATGGTTTACAACATAGACTCTGGAAAATTCCACCCAGGAATAAGAACTTTGTAATAATAAATGCCAATGTTACTGTGTTTCCTTCTTTTCCAATGTACCCCAAAATTCAAATGTGGCTTTATAGAACCTCACCTACCTGCTTCTTTCTTTGTTTTCTTCTTGATCTGATCATGTCTACATTTGTAACTGCTCAGAGTTTAGACAGCATCCTGCCACTTGCTAATTCGTTTAATTTCATTAATTCATTTACTCAGAAAATATTGAATGAGTGCCTGTGTCTGTGATAAGCATTATTCTAGACACCAGGATGGCCACAGTGAACAACACAGGCAAAGATACTGACTTTTTGGATCTTATATTCTAGTCAGGGGAGTCATTTGCTAAGGAGAAAGGGGCTGTAGACATTTTGCGATAGTTTTCTTTTTGAGAAGACTATTTTAAAAATTAGCCTGTTTTCCCATCTAAAATGTATTTGACAGACTCTTGCTTATGTTAATCTGCTCTTGGCTAAATCCTCTGAGTTTAATCCTGGACTTCACAGAATTACTACAACAGCATTTTTCTTCTTAAATCTTCCAATTAACCAATTTGCAAATCCATATAATAGATGGTCATATCTGCATATGGGGAAAGTATTACCAGCACCTCCCTTCTTGTAGTTTAGGAAAATTTCAAATTACCTCACTTAGAAATGCTCAGAAAGAAGGTTCTATTAAAAGGGAAAGTCTGTGTTTAGGAGTCTAGCTGTAGTTATATTTGTAAATGGCATATACCTTTGAATGTTTTATCATCACAATTTGGCACAATTTCATAAATTCTATCATTGAAGCTGGTTTAGTGACTTTAATAGACCCCCCACCTTAATGAATGAGGAATGTAAATATTTAGCCTTGTGAAACCATCTTTTAAAAATGGTAACTACTTTGTTTTTAGAGAGCAAACAGCCCATATTTATTGTAGCTCACTCTCATATTTTCAGTTTACTATTATTTCCTTGGTTTTATCCAGTAGAAATGCTGAGCATTGGGTACACATTGATAGCACAATTTATTTTATAATAAAGGAAGAAAACAAGAAGAGGTCAGGGAAGGACAATTGCTTTATTCTGGGTTTATTTTGGGCCTGACTGACATGGTCTGATACTCCATATACTAGGCTGGAGTGGTTAGTCATTAGGCAGACACTCGAAGCTCAGAAACAAGGGACCAAAATATTCTCAGCTGTCTATTTTGGGGCATGGAGTTGGGCATTTATTATATGACTAGAGGCCTGGTGCATGAAAATTCATGCACGGGAGGGGGGTCTCTCAGCCCCACCTGCCCCCTCTCACAGTCCGGGAGCCCTCAGGGGCGGGAGGTGACCCGGTGATCAGGGGAAGGGGACACCCCATCACACCTCTACCGCTGCCACTGCCAGCACCACAAACCTCGGCCGGCCCTGGTTACCTGAGCCTCCAGCATCCCTGGGCAGCTGGGCAGCCACCATTCGAGGCTTGCCTGTGCCTCGGGCTGGCCCTGAGTGGCTGGGGGGCTGAGGGTTCTGGGGGACTCTGGAGGCAGGTGTGTGGAGCGGCTGTGTGCCTGCTGCCCCAGCGGGGCTGAAGGGAGTGGGTGCCACTATCTTGTGGCTGTGGGCGCCGCCATATTTGAGGGCATGGCAGTCAATTAGCATATTCCCTCCTTATTGGCTGAGGGCACCACCATCTTTGTGATGGCGTGAGGGTCAATTAGCATATTCCCTCTTTATTAGATAGGATTAGAGGCCCGGTGCACAAAAATTTGTGCACTCAGGGAGAGAGGGGTCCCTC